CAAAGTCTGTAATGTCTGCGTCTTCTGTGAAGTTACAATAAAGTCCCATAATGTGTTCTGTGATGTTGAGTAAAACAGTTCATGTCCAGTCCATAAATTCCATGTTTCCCTTGTGTCCAGTCCATAAGTCCCATATCTTTCATTGTCACGTGTTGCAAGCCCAGGGTTGGGAAAACAGAATGTGTGCTTGGAGTGCTCTGAATCTGTGCTTGGTGCAGTTGTTATAAGTTCAATAATATTACCAGTATGTCTGTTCCTCAACAGAAGTCTTGTACATGAAATAAACATACAAGGTCACATGTACATTACCTTTTTAAAGTCATTCCATCCCATGGTATAAGTAGCTTTTGCAGAAAAATTCATCATTGCTTGCATCAAGTACGTGGTCGCTTTCTGGATGCCTCTGACTTTGGAGGATCAGCATGCATCACTTTAAGCTTCATACCAAGAACTTCATGACCATGCAAGCCTTCTATGGCAGCATCGGCAGATTCCTTGCTCGCAAATTTAGCATAACCAAAGTTACGTTCCTTCATCATCCACACATCAATCAAGCTTCCAAATCTGCTGAAGACATCTTTAAGTGCAGCTTCTGGAGGAGGAGCTGGCTGGCAGACAATAAACAGTCTGGAGGCAACCTCCGAGTTTGGGTCTGCCAAAGGAGAAGGAGCAGGGAGAGCTGCTGTCGTATAAACTGCCGCTGAGTCCACTGCATATGAACTTCCAGAGAGTGATGACTTAGAACCGTGTGACTGCACTTGGAAAGTGGTATCACTACCCAAACCTGCACCATTGTTTCGCATTGCTGGAGGATCTTCAGCATATTTAACCACAAGCTTTGAACCCGGAGGATATTCAAACCCGTTCAACTTTTCCTTGGCATAGATCGCAGATCCAACAGAGTTGTATGTGACATAAGCAAAACCCTTTGATTCTCCGGTGGTGAAGTTCCGCTTCAAGTCACACATTTGCATGCCAGGGATGATATCAAACAGGCGCGACAATTGCTCTGCATTGATCATCGGTGAGACTTTAACAAAAAGCCGGGTGGGAGTGTGTGATGTTGTTATTGATTCTGCCACAGCTGCAGCTGGGTTTTGAGAACTGTAGTAATCCATCATTCCCGGGAGACCTGCTGCTGGTGTCATGTTCATGTTGACAGGGGGTGTTGGTGGTGGTGGAGCAAAGCTATTTGCCTCGAGAAATGGGTTATGAGGAATTAGCGTGGACTGTAAGGCGGCAGCAGCAGCAGCAGCATTCCGAGCAATCTTTGCAGATTTGGGTTCAGCCCAAACTGCTTTTAGTGACTTATCACAGTTTTCTAGAGCAACAGCTGCTGATGACGACTTTTTGAATTTCACATAGCCATAGCCTTTATTTTCATGTGTCTTGTGGTCCCGTACAATCTGAACATATTCTATCTCGCCAAACTCCTGGAACTTCTGCCGCAAGTTATCCTCTGCGTATTCTTTTGGACAGATGACAAACAGTCTGGTAAGTGCTGTATCATCTTGAAAGTCCTGTTTTGAGCCAGAAACCTTGGACTGGGCAATCATTACCTACAAGTATAAGGGACAAAAAAAATAATCACCGCTAGTCTACGTCAAAGATCTGACACTGCATCTTGACAAAAGAAAAAAAATACACTATATACAGTGTCTTGATTTAAATTTGGGCTTAATCTTTATTTTCGTTTAATATTTTGGTACAATTACATGTATGCTTATGTCATGTTGAGTTGGAAACAAAGGATAATAAAATATATACATTGGTAAACTAAGGATAAAATTGAGCCTCAACAGATATCAAACAACAGGTGAAACTATTTAATTTTTTTTTCATCCAAATAGGCTTAAGTGAAAGTACATTTAAATCTAAAAGAATCAATTGGCAGACTACCATCAGCAAAATTATCTAGCAACTAGGGATAACAACACTGTAATCAATATAGTGTGTTCCTTTTAAAACAATCAAGTGGTGCAATTAAAACCACATGTTTGATTGAAATTTTAAATTGGTTTTGACAACAGTATGAAAGCCATACTGTTACGAAAAAATAAAATATCTGGTTTACTTTTTAAAAAATCTGCAATGTATGTACATATCAAAGCCAAAGGTACTTTTAAAATATTTTCAAACAAACTACTCAAATTCATGTGATAGAGAGATTATTTAGAGATTTAAAAATGAAAATCACTTGAATTAATAAAAAGGTTCTGACATGAAAATTAGTTAGAAAGCAAAAATTCACTTTAGAGTTTAATCTAATTAGGTGCCCAGCCACTAAACAAATATTTAACCTGGAACAAGCAATTTGCTATCAATTTTTAAAAACTTTACCTCACCAAATAAAACAAAGAGCTTTCTACAGGACTTCACAGGGTACAAAAAATATAGAAAAGAAGACATAAACATAAAAAAATCATAAAGTAAAATGGTATATTTTACTCCATTACCAGATAGCTTACTTGAAAAAGTTATTTCGTTCAACCTTTTGCTTATCTATGGTCAATTACGCAGTTAATCTACAAAACGTAAAATATTTATGGATTGGAAAAATGTCTATTTACTTTTCCACGTAGCGAGATGTTTTGATGCTATTCTTTTTGTGAAAGAAACTTAAGCTTACATTCATGAACCTTACACAAACAGGACACAGCTGAGAAATTTGAATACAAATGACAATAACATAATGTACGAAAGTGAAGATATAGATTTTCACTAGATCAATAAAACGACTTTATTTCAAGACTTCTGATAACAAAATAGTTACCTGACATAAATAATTAACAATTTGAAACGACCTCGCTGAAGACAATGAAAAAAGTTGTGAAGTGTCTACCTTCCACTTAGCAAAATTTCCAAGAAGACAACTTTACAATTAAAAACTCTGAATCAGACAAACTTTCTCACGGGACAAAACAAAACTCAGCAGATTTTGATGATCTGTTTATCGAAGAATCAGTTAAAGCAGCTCTAAGCAAGAGCACATGGTTTGTGATCTTGCAAATTAGCGAGTTGTCACAATGCTTACACAAACTTCAAAGCAACGCAAACCTCAGAATTTAAAACACAGTACCAAATTTTTGCACAACTAACAATTTTATCTTACCTTAACCGGCTTAGTGTCTTCTCCAATAAGCTTGCCATCCATTTCTTCACAAGCTAGGGCAGCTGAGGAAGCTTTCGCGAACTTGATGTAACACACGCCGCGATTTTCTTTCGTGTGCTTGTCTTTCACAACCCAAATGTCTTCGATGCTACCGAAATGCTCAAATGCGGCCCTCATATCCTCCCCTGTATGTCTTTTGCTGCAGACTATGAAGATGCGAGAAAAAGGCGGATTATCGACGTCCACGCGGCCTGAAATTGAACCGGAATCCATTTGTTGCTGGTGATTCGCAGCCATGTTGAGTTTGAACGCAGCTTAGTGACGCGAAGTGCCTCGTGGGAAATGAACAGCTCAAACAGCTCCAGTCAATACTCGTTCCAGTCTTTTCGAGCCGAGGCTGGAGCAGATAGTGGGGGCGAGGGAAAGTCTCTAAAAGGGCGCGAAAAAATGACGCAAAAATGCCATTTTTCTCCCAGCTCTTGCTAAGATTTCAATTCTCCATGATGTTCTAGTGATTTTTTTTTTCAATCAGAAGCCCATGACCCTGCTCCAATAAATGTTTGAGATTTTGGGTGGGATGAATGAATGTTTTCGCGGTAACAAAAATTGGCGGGGAGGTGGTGTTTAAATTATGGAGCAATTGGATTTCGGGGTTGCTGAAAACTAAAATTTAAAGGGAATAATTAGAAGACAAAGTACCAGATAGTCCAAAGGTAGTCCACCACCACAGCAAGGCCACCTCTGACTCATTGGCGCATGGCGGGTATGCCCGCCTCCGGCCATCTACTAGCGACTCTCCGCTTCTTCATTAAATCCGTGAAGGTGAAGAAAAAAGAAAAAAAAAATCTGGAAATTCGCTGCTCTTTTTGCTGATTTGTTACTGTAGCTCACTCGTTATAGTGGAGTTTCTGGTCGAAATAATTTTATTGCGAAAATTCCCCTTGGCGAACTGTAGTATATGGTATATGTTATATATATGGTATATAGTTGGTATATGACCGGATAGCGGAAAGACTACCGGAAGTATCAACGCAAGGGAAGAACCGTTATCGGTGTGTATACATTCGCAGGGTTTTCCAACTAGTTTGACCCTGAACCAGACACGAACAAAGCTTTTTTTCTTCTCGTTTTATTTCCGAGTCAGGGGCCCGTTTCTCGAAAGTCCCTGTAACTTTTCAGGCCCGAAAACAAATATTTAATCGAAATATAAAGAATAAGAGCGCTGATCCTGGCTAGCAAGGCTACTCCATTTTGTTTCATTAACTGATTTTATCATGTTAGATGCAAAACTTTTGAAATCTCGATCTTTAATGTAAGACGGGCCCCAGGTTACTTCAACGCGCGCACGAGCGGCTTTTTCGGCCATGCGAGGCCTTCAGTCCACCACATGTCATAGGCTCCTGCATAAAGTTCGTACACGGGCCGGCGAAAATGAGTCTGAACCAGGCGGGTAGCTAATATAGTTTGCACACTAAAATATTGAACAAAAATATTGAAACGAAAATTTGAACGTCTTAATCTCTCCCCTTTCCCCAAAGTAAAAGACATTTGCGCGACTTTATCTTTGATTTTGCGGGGAAGGGGGTTTGCATTTCCGTTTCATTTTGTCCAAGATTGAGAATTTGCGGGAGAATTTGCTACATACAGACCGGACAGACCGGACACAACACAGCCTGGGGTCCACAGTCAGCCTCGTTTGGTCAGCGACTTTCCATTCAACGCAGTCGCGCTGCGAGCATGTGCTGCTGCATCGCGCGTCCATTTTAGTTTTCAAAAACCATGTAATACATGGAGCGGCGCACTTTTATTGTCCCTTTCGAACCGATTTCTTGTAAATCGGGCCCAAAGAGCTCCTGAAAGGGCTTCATAATTATCGTGATTTCCAAACATGGTAAAGGAGATGATAGGGGGCTGTTGTGTTTGTTCGGACGAAAGAGGATGGGAAGAAAACCCGTTGGTTTATTGTGACGGACATGGCTGCAATGTTGCTGTGCATAAAGGTGCTTGCTCTTGGCGCTGTTTATTATTTTTTCATTGTTCACTGAAGAGATGTCTCTGATCGTTCTATTTTTTTGACCATCAGCTTGCTATGGAATCGTTCATGTACCTAAAGGACCGTGGTTTTGTCGAAAATGCGAGTCTCAGGAGAGAATCGCTCGAGTCGTGAGTTATATACTTTACGTTGTTAAAATGTTATTATTGACAGCCCCTGTTCATATGAAACGACAATATTGATGATTGTTTAGCGGAATCCTTCCCCCAAAATTATTGGTAAAAGGAATTTTGCGTTGCTCACAGGAAGAATTGTCACGAACTTCTTGTTTACAAGTTGGCGTGACCTGCAGGTTGACTTACATGTAGGTTGTAGATTTCATGCTGACAGTTCCAGTTCAGTTATTTAAATATCGTCCATAGAGTAATTCGTACGAGGTTTATCACTAGTTTAAGAGAAGAGCCAATCTGTTTTATTTTCTGAATACCATGTACAAGTTGTGAATTTTTCAGTTTGGATGTTTTTAATTTTGAAAGTCTAACAGTCTATTTTTTGTAATTTTGAAATAAACAGTGGAAAAATGGGAAAACTAGGGATTTGAGATTTTTCTTGTGTTATCGACTTATCGTGTTTCTACCATAGTCATTAGGACTTGCATAATTTATTTAATAACCAGTTAAATTTTTGGCTTGTAACAACGGCCTTGTGTTGCATGTAACTAAGATGGCATAAATATTCATTGTTCCTTTGGCCTTTAGAAATGATGGTTCACTGAGTAAATATTGAATCAATGAATATATAATTAACAGTTATTGGACGAGGCTGAGCCAAATATTGTAATTTGTCAGTGGCAAGCAGATCAATAATTTGCCAAAGCAGAAGGCTGAGGCAAACTTATTGCGATCTACCATTTTCACACAAGAGCGATCGCAAGAAGCATAAAAGTGTGGTTTCATTGACACATGAGCAGAATATTATTTGGAGCCTGACGCAGCTGGATGACATTGCACATGAGCTGTAAAAAGGCATTTATTTAATTTGTAGTCATATTGTGCACACTCATCCAATAAAAAAGGAAGAAAATTTTGCATGGAATGATAATTTCATATATTGGAACTGCAAAATGAAGAAATAAATGCAAAGAAACAATACAATACAATATAATACTTTATTCAAGAGATAAAAACTAAAGTTTCAAATATCTCTCGAAAGGGGATATCTAGAGGTCAACCCTCTATAAAAGATTCCCCAAAATAAAAGATGAAAAGGTAAAATCTAGAATCTAAATTAAGATTATATACAGAGAGAAAAATCTAAAACCTAAAAACTAGAATAAAAAACATTATTTGCACATCCTAATTAAAACTATTTACAATCGTATTAATTAATATTCATATAAATCCTTAATCTGTTGTGAAATAAAGTCAGCGATCCTGCATGTACAACATCTTTAGGCAAGTTATTCCACGCATTAATGATCCATACAAAGAAAGAATATTTGTAGCAATTTAGGATGGCAACTTTAACATAAAAATTGTAATCGTGATTAGCTCTAGTTAGATGACGCTGAGTAATTTCAAAAAAGTCGCAAAAAGGAAGGCTATCTATTCCAAAAAATATCTTCTAGCGCTGAACTAGAGATAAGAACTCTCTATGTTTCTCCAAAGAAGATCATCGTAGTGAAAGTCAACAATATATACAGTTGTGAAAAGGAAGCCCAAAAATTTTCTGGCTTTCTTGAGAAAACTGCACAAGCATTAATGTTAACTGTCATATTTGAATGAATAGGTATATTCTTTCTAACTTTCTGGTTCTTGATTTGCTTGCACAGAAATGTGAGCTATGTCCATATAAAGAGGGAGCATTGAAGAGAACAGATACTGGAGGTTGGTGTCTTTATTTAATCCTCAAATTTTTTATTGCATTTGAATGAACCTAAAGTCAATGACTTGTGTAAAAAGCCTGGGTTAGAGCATTTACTTTTAGCAGAAAGAAACTCAATTTTTGGTAATATGGGTCCTGTACCAGATACATAGATTATATTTCAAAGACATTGGAATCCCCAATTCCAGAGCTTGTCCTTTTTTATATGTAAGTTGCATAAACTTTGAAATGATTGCTTTGACACTTTTAAAAACATGTTCAGTAGTGCTAGATAGATAATGTTAGATATGCTATCATTTTTCTATAACTTGTGGTATGTTCAATATGCAATTCTTCCACCAAACACAATTAGATACTGCCCGTTTTTCTCTCCTCGCATTATCCATTTCCCTGTCTCTCCCGTTCTTCCAAGTACGATCATCATTACCCTAATTCCTCAAATAAGAGCCGGGGGTGATTATTTCTTTTTTTGAACAAAAAGGGGGCGATTTTTCGAGGAAAGGTGATTATTTGCGGAAGGTAATAATTCCAAATATTGCTCTCTGAAAGTCGTTTGTTTTATTTTGTCATTAAATTAAAAAATAATCACATTGAATTAACTGATCATGGGCTTTTTAAGTGTTCCAAATTTAGTTCCTTGATCAATTTTCATAGCTTGAATCATCACTGATCAGTCTGGCATGAATCACATTGCACTTCAACTTGACAGGGAGGGGATAAAAGGAAGAGAAGATGATGAGAGGAGCGGCGGGGAGGCGATTATTTTAAATATCTCTGTCCAAGAGGGGTGATTATTCAACGTACGCGATTAATCGAGGGACAGCTATTATTTGAGGAAATATGGTATCCTCCAATAAATCAACCAACTTTTAAATAAAGGCTTTCCTTTTTCTACAAAGATCCATGGGCAAGTTGAGTTGAGTTTAGGCCAGTTTGTTGACGTGGCCGTCAAGCAATAGAAACATTTTCTGTGTTTGCATAGCCTGATATAAACACTAGACTGGGGTTGGGAGAATTCGAGACAGTTTTGCAAACCCAAGACGAAGTCTAGGTTTTGTTTAACTATTGAGAATTCCCCCAACTCCTCCTGTGCTTTTATTAGGCTACACAAATACAGGAAAAAAGTTTTCTATTGCTTTTATATATTAACTTTCCCAAGAAAAAAATGCCAAACGAAGCCCTAGGATTTTGCACTAATGATTGCTTTTGTACCATGTTGTTACCGTGATCTTGAAATAACGGAACCAAAACATAGTGTCCCAGTGACATATCCTGAAACTGATGAAGAGGCCCAAATCTCTTTTGTGAATAGACAAGATCTGTGGTGAACATTTCAAGCGAGTTTACTTCTTCAGTTGGATCAAAGAGGAGTCTGGGGCTTTAGACACTTTAATGCACACACATTTAGCTCTTGACTTTCTTCTGTCATTTTAATAGACATTGAAGTGTTTTTGTAAATAATAGTACACACTGATCTTCTTTAATTTTAAAGTATGTTTAACAACTTATTTCTGTTCTTTAGACGAAATAAAAATGGTTTCCCATGAATTTTCACAGAACCAAAAAATTGTTACAGATGGTTTCCCACGATCTCTGGGCACGGAACTGAAAGATTGTTATTCATGGGATTTGAAATCCTAGGGCTTGCAAAACTCTTTTTAAATGGCACTGATAAAAAGAGAAATTCTTACCAGTCACGAAGTCTTGTACACAAATGCTTGCTCTCATAATCAGTTCTCTTTTTGTGAAAAAGGTGCTTTCCAAAATATGGATTTTTCTAGCTTAAAATGTCAGCTTAATCAAAAAAAAAAAATGGGAATGGGTAAATAAAGTAAACTTGTCAAGTTTTCTAGTCAAAAACTTTTTCAAATTTGTGCTTGCGTAATGTGGCTTAAATACGATCAATCGTGGCTGGCTGAATGTGTCTTCTTCTTCCATGCTATCAAGCTTTGAAGGACCAAATGTACCTCTCTACATGAAAGCCTTTATACTCTGATTGGCTTTTGTGCATGATAAGAACATTGTTATGTCGGCATACAAATGTACAGTTGTATGTATTCAAGTTACCTTCCAGTGACTTTTTGTATGTGTTAACAGGCTGGGCGCATGTTGTTTGTGCACTATACATTCCTGAAGTGAGATTTGGAAATGTTACAACAATGGAGCCAATAATTTTGGCCTCAGTGCCACATGATCGCTTCTGTAAGGTACTGCAAACATGTTTTATATTGTGATCCATATTAAAATAGACTAATGCAAAAAATTCTTTGTACTCAATTTACAACTAAGTTAGTAAGTCAAAGAAATTGACTTGTCCACGATTTCCTAGGTAGTGATGAATAATGTGAGGCACCAACTTGAAACTTGGACTAAAGTGCTCAGTTGTGGTTTTCTTTATTAATTTGGCTCCTTGTGAATGCTCAAGGTTTATCCAACCTACCAGAAGGGGACACCCCCTGTAAGCCTCCCATATTCTCTTTTCTGATATGCTGTTGATGGGCAACTCCAAGTTTAGCATTAAAAGGACAGTAGGGCCATTTATACAAGGAAAAATAAGACGCGTCTTACATAGGACGCGTCTTAAATAAGATGCGAACTTTCCGTATAAACGGCACATTTCATCTAAAATAAGACGCAGCTTACCTAAGACGTGTCTTATTTTAGAACAGCCCACAACACCTGTTCTTAGATAAGACGCATCTTAGCTAAGACGAGAAAAACTTCGTATAAATGACCTTTGCGTCTTAAATAAGACGCGAACGCATAGCTCGCATGCGTTAATTTTTGGCGCGCCGCGTTGGATTGCCGTTGCTACAGGCAACATTTACATGAAAACGAGTCAAAAACAGAAATAAGACTTGAACCATTTATACGAGCTGTTCTCGTCTTAGATAAGACGCGTCTTATTTTTCCTCGTATAAATGGCCCTTATGTGATAGGTCAGAGATTGTGATGACAGTGTGTGCCATCGTGCCCATGCTCTTGAATGTAGGGCTGTCAAAAGTAGCTAGCTGCCAGCAAAAATCACTGCCTACTTGTTACTATTGGCCGGCTACTCTACTTGGCATTTCTTTACAGATAGCATTTTTTTAAATAAAATATCCCTGGACTGGCCACTTACTTTGACAACTCAGCTGTCTACTTCAAAATTTTCTGACAACCCTGAGAATGGGTTTTTTAGTGATTTATTGGTAACAGAACATCGTTAGCTTGTATTCATTAATGAGCGAACCTTTGTGTATTGTACATGTACTTCTAGTGTAATTAACAGAAAATTAAGGGGAATATTCTTGTGATATTCCTTGTTTAAAGATCAGTTTAATTTATCCTTACAACTCTTCTTTTTTTTGATTAAGCGGAAATACTGTTTGTGTATTACATGTATAAAGAAAAGGAAAAATAGATGCTGGTCATTTTATGTATTCAAGTGGATTAATGTGATCCTTCCAGTTGGTTTGATTTGTTTGTTATATCTTTGCATTTGTTATCAGACTTGCTATATTTGTGAAGAAAGAGGACGAGAGAGTAAAACAGCACATGGAGCCTGTATGAACTGTAACAAGACTGGCTGCAGGCATGCTTTCCATGTTACTTGGTATGGCTTTATGTTGCATATCTGGCATTAATAAATTTTTTCTTTTACATATATTATGTACAGGTTGTGAATAAATGTGATTCCTGTTCATAGTTGTCATGTACTGTGTTGCATTTTAGCGCTCAGAGCTCTGGCTTGTTATGTGAAGAAAATGATGGTCAGTCAGGACCTACTGTCAAGTATGTTGGTTATTGTCAGTTCCATTGGAATAAAAAGGTACTGGTTTTGTCTTTTGATGTTTAGTTGATTACTTAGCTCTTATTAACCGAGCGGGAGGTCTGTATGGGAGAATCTTGAATGAGGTCGCTAGTACAGATGGAACGCAGTGAGGTCTGTACCAGCAACCAAGGTCAAGATTCTCCCATACAGACCGACCTAGTTCGGTTAATAAGATGTTATTATGTGGCCAAACAAGAAAGCAAAGGAACAAAAACATCAATTTCGACTTCATCTTTGCTTGTAGCTTCCTCGGAAGGACTCAAATTTGCCAATGTTTGCTTGTTTTCTTTACCTGCTTCCTCGTGAAGGTCCACTGATTCTTCCATATAGTATTATTAATAGGAACAAGCCAATTTTTTCATATTCTTTGTTTGTAACATTTTGAGGACAACTGTTACAACAAGACCGGTCTAGATGCCGGTGTAGATGGGAAAATCTAGACCGTGGTCAAAATCAATTTTAGCCAATCAAATTCTTGAATTTGTTTGTTCCTAGTCCTTTTGAGACATGGCCATATAATAAATACCACTCTTATTAACCTCATCCGTTGGATCATTACAGGTCAATCTCAGACCGAGGCCTTGTATCTATATTAATTAATATTATTAATTTATTAATGATAGCAAGGTCAATACATCAATGCCTCAGTCTGGGATTTCCCTGTGATGACTGAATGGATGAGGTTAATAAGTTATTTATTATATGGTATTTTTAGTGCAATAATGTAGAACACCCGAAGTAATTGAGCCTGTGATCAATCAAAGCCAATAACTGGTCAGCAGATAACTTAAAAAACACGTCGCCTCAGTGCGTTTTACACTTGACAGGGTTTGTATAGAGTCTTGAATTCTTGAAAAAGTCTTGAAATTTGCCCAGTAATTTTCCAGTCCTGGAAAAAGTCTGGAAAATGGAGAGAAAGTTTGGGAAAATGGTCTTGATTTTTTCTTTCACAGCTACAGAAGGTGCTTTATGAGTACAATTTTTTTCTATTGGTCAAATCTTATTCAATCTCGCCTGTACATTTGCAGGGCATCATGAAAAAAGCTTTGTTCCTGCGTCTTTTAGGTTTCTATTGATCACATTTTGATAACCTCGAGTCTGGAAAAAGAAAGTATTGTTTTGGAAAAAAGTCTGGAAAAAGTCTTGAGTTTCGGATCCAAAAATCTGTACGAACCCTGACTTCAGCCCATCATACAGACATGTGACAGTGTTCAGTGCGTACCCTTTTTTGACAGCTATCAATTGACCATAACATAGATGTCCACTATCAAATTAAACACAGTCGATGACTGCATATGCCTTTGACACCTTGCTTATAATGATGATCTCTGGTCATTACAAGTAAATTTTGTTCGCTCAGCGACCAATCGGAGCACGAACACTATTGTAGCCATGTAATAGCGTGCGTTAGAATTTTTTGGCATTCAGGTGGTTAGTTCCATAGTACTATAAAAATTTTTTAAGAATAAAGAGGGCAACATTGGGTTCAGCACACAAATTTAAGGCCATTTAAATTTTCCAGAACGAGCTTAAAACAGTACATGTATACAAGGTCAGTGAACCCTTGGGTGCAATGTCACTTACATATCCTGTCTAGGGGATAGATGTTGTTGGTAAAATCCAGAGCTGTAAATTAGGGCCATAACAAGATTCACCTTTACGGCTGAGCTGAGTAGGTGACACTAAAAAAAAAGAGCACTTTATTTGAGTGTCAATGTATTTAGCACCGTGCTAACTGGGGACACTATTTTTACGTCTCCTAATGGAGACGGGACCGCCATTTTACGTGGTCATCCGAGCCACGCGAAGGTCTCGCCGCCTGCAGGGCAAAGGAAGTACCTTCATTTCTCAGTTATTGGTCCGGCCCCGGGAATGGAACCCGCGACCTCCCGCTCTGCAGTAAAGCGCTCTATCGACTGAGCTAATCCTGCCGCGGTGTCGTGGTTGGAAAATCATTATTGCCAATGTGTCTAGTTTCACAATAAAGCTCTTTGATGCACGAGTGATTACCAAAAATACAAGTACAGTACTTCAGCATCCCTCTGCCTCCAAAAGGAAAACTATATTGAAATCCAGCAGGTGTCCTTAAACTAGGGTTTAACTGTATTTGTTGTTGATAATAAATTAGTTTTGTAATTCCCTAACAGGCCAAAGGCATTCTTTTCAACACCAAACCAACAGACAAACCAGGAAAAATAACTGACAAAGAAAAAGAAAAGGACAACAAAGAAAAAGATAAAGTTGATAAAGAAAAAGAGAAAGAGAAAGAGAAACCTAAAAACAAGACTGATAAAGAAAAGGAAAAGAAGCCTCTCAAGCCGAGACTTTCTACTGGCGCTGCAGCGGCATCTACCGAGCAGTCAACACGACCTGAAAACGGTGCTTCTGGTTCGACAAGTCAGCCCTCTACTCCAAAACAGAGAGGTAGAAAGCCTTCGACTGTGAAAGTATCAACTGATTCTCCAGACGCAAAGACAACACCCGAGACGCAAAAACCTGCGAGCATTTCAAGCGGTAGCCCACGACAGTCACCCTTGCCAGGCTTGGTACAGTTACCTACAGAACCTGTTCAAATTGATAGTGCTGGTCCAGTGTTGTCCACCAAGGACGGTCCAGTGTTGTCCACCAAGGACATGACCTCTCCGAGAGCAATGTCATCTACAGTGCTTGTTCCAGAAATGATTCCTAAAACGGTCACCACTCACTTGCAAGAAATCTCTCAGACTGCCACTAATGTTCTTTTTCCTGAGATAACGAAACCAATGGACGTGATAATGTCACCTATAACAAGTGCACCCAAACAAACGCCAAAACAGCCTGCGGCGAGTAGTGTCCCAAAACAGCCTGCGGCGAGTAGTGTCCCAAAACAGCCTGTGGCGAGTAGTGTCCCAAAGCAACCGCCAGCAAGCAGTGTGCCCAAGAAACGGCCTGCTAACAAGGGTGGTGATGAACCGAAGAGAAAAGTTGGCAGACCGCCCTTGAAATCTAAGGCAAATGCTTCAATCGGAGATCATAAGAATAACGTTCGTACTTCTGCCGCTAACCTGGTGACGTCTCCCTTGAATACAGCATTTCCCTCTACCTTTCCCCAAGATTCTCAAGGAACATCCACGGCAATGCCTTCATATCCCAGCTTTTCAAGCCCGGGTATGTTCAGTGGGAGCAACCAAGGGACCAGTGTTCCTCAGAATGGTCCCCGGACGCCAAGTCCTAATCCGTATATGATTCCACAGCCCCGCAACAGAGGACTGTTGGAAAATGGGCATGTACAAAGACCCAATAATGTGAACCCAGGCCCCTTGTAAGTATCTGAAATACAAATAGCTGCAGCAGGGTCCATGGGCATTCTTTTTTAGGTTTCATTTAGCGTGATTTCATTTAGGGGGTGTTTACATGAGAAAACTCGCACCAGCGCGAGTCTCATACCGGGATGACTTTTTGATTTCGTATCGGATTTACATTATGACTGAGTCATTTAATATCTCGAAATTTGAAGGTACACTTCATGTTGATAAAATAGACGTGTGATTCAAAATCGCAAACATTGCGCATGCGCTACCCGTTCCAGTCTACCGGCAGACCGATTTCACACCGAAACGGGTGGTCGTTTCGCGTTTACATGATACCGCTGCAAGATTTCGTACCGGGGTGAAATTCTCGCCCCGGTAAAAGAACCGGGGTGAACTCGCGCCGGGGTGACTCGTGTCGGCATGACATTTTGTGGTATCATGTAAACAAATATAGAGCCATGAGAGGGAACAGGAGTGAACTCGTTCCGGGGCGAAAGTCGCCCTGGTGTCATGTAAACACCCCCTTATTAGTACAAGTGTGGGTATTAAGGGATATGTGGAACAATAGCCTGAGAAAACAAACAAAATTTTGGGAACCCACCTCTGGTTTTCTTACGAAATAACGTCTGGGGAACCACTGGAGAAATTCCATACTGATGACGTGTCACTCCCCGGTCTGATTGGATAAAGCAAAGGTTCAACTAATTATTAGAACAAGGTTCGTAAAGAATCTTGAATTCTTGAGAAAGTCTTGAAATTTGCCCAGCAATTTCCAGACCTGGATACAGTCTGGAAAATAGAGTTGGTAGAAAATGGTAAAAGTCTTGAGTTTCTGTTTTGTTTTGTTTTGTTTCTTTTTTGAAAGCTACAACAAGTGCTTAATCAATGAATTTGTTTTTGTTTTGGTCAAATCTTATTCGATCTCGCCCGTCTTTTTGCAGCGCATCATGAAAGAAGCTTTGTTCCTGCGTTTTTAAGGTCTCTATTGATCACCTTTTTGAAGTCTGGGAAAATAAATTATTGTTTTGGAAAAAGTCTTGAATTTTGGATCAAAAAATCTGTACGAACCCTGTTAGAAGTAGCGACGCGTCATAAGTATGGAGTTTCTGCGCTCGTTTCTCAGACGTTTTTGTTGTCTGTTTTCTCAGACAAAAGAAATTCTAAAAATTAATGTCGATATTTTTTACATCTGATTTTTAGTTTTCTTGAGAGCAAAAGGGTTGATTATTGTAATTATTTTTCCCTTTCTTTGCAGGCAGCTTCCAACGAGTTTGGAGGAACTGCTAGAGTATCAGTGGGATCAGGGAGCCCAGTTTCTTATGCAACAGGCCTCCCAATATGATGGTAAGAATTGCATACAAAAACGTCTGACAATATCGGAAGGGGTCTGTCATACAGCTATTTCGAGAAAGGTTGTCGGAAAAAATGTGCACGCGACAATCCCGAAAGGTAATATGGGATATGATCAACACACTGATCCTGACGCTGTAGCTGCCGAACCTACTTTTGTTGCTTTCCTTTAGCACTCACAGACATATGTCCATGGCCTCTCCTGCCATTCTATCAAATTTCTTTGAAAAAAAGTGAACTCAAAACCACCCACAATACCTTTCGGGTTTGTCACGTGCTATTTATCCGACCACCTTTCTCGAAATAGCTGTATATGTCTTTATGTGGAACCTTACCAAATTATATTTGTAAGTGCTGTAAGTATCAGTGTAGTAAAATGAGGAAACGCGTATCAGTCAAGTAAATAGTAAACTTTCAAGGATCAAGGATGATTTTCAAGGGCCAATTTCAAATGACAAACCGAGAAGAGTGAAGCCAAAATTTTACGCATTTTCTACATTCTTCTCTTCAGATGACGGCGTATTTTGGAAATACCATATTTTGTTAGTCCAGTTTCTTTGAGATTCAGGAACCATGTAACATACCTTGTAAACTTCAATTTTTGGACAGTAGATGCAACACCAGACATGGAAGAAAGTATTGAACTCACGACCTTCTGTTACAACTCTCTAACCACTCAATCTGGGCCAGGTAGTGAGAATAAAGTTAGGTTTCAATGTTGTGAAGGTGCCGACATGTAAACGACGAATGTTGTAGGTGGAAGTGTAGTTTTATGCCTCTTTCGTATGCGTTTTTTTGCAGTTGCTTCACTGATGTCCAGTCTTCATCAGCTGAAAGCTGACAACACTCGCCTCGAGGAGCGTCTCGCCTCCTTGACAAACCGGAAAAACCAGTTACTGCAAGTCAACGCTCGACTAGCCACGCCCATGTCTTGCACAAGTACAAACCTAACAGTCACTCCCAGTGTGGTGAGTCAATCCACTCCAACCTCCTCTAGAGCTGCAACGGCCGCATCACAAGGGTCACTATCCACTGAGACAAAAACGACCCAGAGCCTTGAGGGACCACGTGGAACCATAAAAGCAGGGGCTGACGGGGCACCTAAGCTGAAAGTCTCTCAAAGTTCTGATGGGGGAAAGGTCCCTTTAGTTAGTGAGGGCAAGGCCCCCATGAGCGCCAATGTTAAGCCAGGGAGCATCACTGGAGGTAATCATCAGTGTTTAATAAATTTTCCAAGGTGAAATATATACCTCTAGCCGATTTTTTAAAAACCAACCTAGCGAAATTTGCCGTCATTTGAGTGAAAAGGCGTCGGAAAGCAAATTGTTTGGGCCCTATAAACTCCAAAATCACACTAACGATGGAAAAGGAAAGGAAAAAAGAATGAGCGAGGAGGAAGAAAGGAGAAGAGGAGAAAAAAGCGATGGTTGCACTCTTAGTTATTGTAATGGCTACTTTGGAGATAGTTTTGGACGAACTGTTGGACGCAAAAGGTCCATTTGGTAACGCCAGCCTGATCACCCCTTAGTTCAGTGTGCGAAACGAAGTCCTATAACCAAATTATTGTGTCAATACCAAACGGTGAGATTCTCATCATTGGAATAATATATATATGGTAACAATGGTAACAAACCTCAGTACCCTGATTGCCAGAGATATTTCTTGCACGGTTTCAGGTTTCGGTCAAACCGAGGAGTTTTATCTTCGCCGCTCGTGGCTTCGATCCCGCTGCGCTCGTTAAAATTAACCTCTTGTTCTCAGGGTTAAACAAACGTCTTTAATTATTACTTTTTTATCAGGCGAACAGAGAATGGTAAATGGGGGAGTAGTCAAGGATAACAAGACGAAGGAGCCGCAAGTCAAGCGCCCGGAGACGTGCTTTAGTTCTGTACAGGGCATTTCCTCGTCTTCGCCATCCTCAACTTTACAGAAACAATCTCTCAATGTAGGTGGCTTGGTTCTGCAGCAGCCGAAGACAAACTCTCCTCAACAGATTCAGCAGGAAAAGCAGTTCAAGCCGACACAGGTAAACGCCACATTACAGCCGATTATGGTCTCAGCGCTGGCCACTTCGAAGCCCGCCCAACAACAACAACAACAGCATCAGCAACCGCAATTACAGCCACGCTTTCAGCAGCAAAAAATAATCCTCCCCCAGCCGTCGCCCACAAGCGTAGCATTTTCGCAACCACAGCAAACGCCCAGTCAACAGCACGTCCTCCTACAGCTTATAAAACAACAGGAGGACCACCACCGCTTGCCCAACCAGGCCACATTCGGCCTGGACAAACAACAACTAGGGACCCAACAAGCGCAGGCCGCAAAGTTGTTACCCACCACGGGTCCAAATCAGGGGCACTCACTGTCGCTTTCGTACCCTGGGTTTTTGACATTCACGGATCAAATGGCACTAAGTGGGGCCCGCGTGGACATGATGAAAGCCACACACTTAGCGCCTCTTTCCATGGTCTCCTTAGACGGCAGTCAGGCGGGGGCTAAGGACCGTGCTCAGGTATGCCCTAATAAATACATTTAAACCCCATTTACACGCGCGAAAAAAGTTGGCACTGCACACCAAACTTTTGGCACCATGCCTCGTTTACCCGTGCCGAGACTACCTCCGGGAGGAAGCGGGAGGTAGTCTCGGCATCCCTAAAATTTTGAGCACTGGTGCTACATTACATTTGAGACCGATACGTTTACACGTCGAAAATTGGGAGTGCCGTGCCTTAAAATCGTCAGCACGGTGCCAAACATTTTGCGTGCCGTGCCAATTTTTTTAGCACGTGTAAATGGGGTTTTAGTTACACAGGGTTCGTACGCATCTTTAGAACCCGATACTCCGGCTTAAGACGAGCACCTTAGGTTGATGTTTGTCGCTCTCTAGTCATGAGGGAGCTTTAGCAACCGCGACTCTGGCGACGGCGACGAGTTTCAGATCCAAGGTTATTTAACAATTATTCCTTGAGTCCGAATGGGGCTATTGACTAAGAGGCCATGAGGGCGAGAAGAATAATTGTTTTAGTAAAATCCAACTAGTTGATCAAAAATGTCGAGAATAAAAAATATTTAGCTAGTTACTGAGCTAGACTTTAATGCTTTTTTGCCGCCAAAAAACCGGCGCTAGTGGGCCATAACATATAGCCTAGTAGTAGCTCAACCAATCAGAACGCAGCATTGATAATAGACCACTAGTTGGATTTTACTAAAAATAGAGAGCTTCAGATTTGTGTACGAGTACGAAATTTAACTTAAAGTTTTTGCGCATGTTCTCAAAAAAGGACACCTCGGAAAGCTTCATTTTACTAGTTTTTTAACGAAAAAGGTTAGTACGGTTATTTTTCTGAAGGAGGTTAAGCCCTCTCCCGATAGCAAGGTGATAAAACTTCTTACATTTGATAACTTGTTTCCGCCACTACGACATTCTCGCTATAACTCGCGGTAGAATGACGACGGCCATCACATTGTCCCGCCAAAATGACGCTGGTTCACGCTTAAGCAGTACTCAGTATTGAGAAAATCTCGTACTCGTAGTCGTCTTCGTCTCAGAATCTAAAGCTCTCTATTAATGTATGATAACGGAACAACTAGAGAACATCTTGCAGGAGAAATAGACTGTTTTTGGTTTAAAAAAATAAACTGTCTTGCCCATTAATATTTGTTTTGTGTTGACATTCCAAAAAGCAATATCGTAGCGCTAAGAATTGAATACCTGGAGCAATGATTAGCAAAGTTGGTTATTGCGCGGCCTTCTGTGAGGACGGTTCCGAGTTGGTTTCCCAGGTGTTACCTCGTTGTTTCGACGTCTTTCCTCGCCGAGTAGCTGAAAGTAGCTTTGAATACCCGTAAACACTGATGGAGAGACGGGGGTAAAATGGGCACTCCGTCGGCCTCAGGTTTGTCAGTCAAATGTGTACTGTACGAGTTACCCACGTAAAATAAGAAACTTTACCCCACCTTAACATTGTTTTATCTTTCCATCTTACATTGTTTTCCTTTTTTCTTTCTTTCTTTGCAGTATTTCGACCTGGACAAAAGTTCAAATTCCTTGGAGAAAACTTCGAGAAATGGGTAGCGGTCGTTCATCAATCGTCATATTTCAGAGGGAAATATCGACTATCTGCTGTTCCGGGAACATGTATCTTAGAACGAACAGTAAAATGCCAGCAAAGAAAACTCCAACGGATCAGTGAAAGCGTGAACAGTACGAACGTAACACTGGCCGTTGTTTTGGCTGATGAGAACAATGTACAATACGGTTTTTATCGTTGCTTAACGAAATTGGTTCTCTTTAGAACATGTTATTTCGCAAGTAAAGCATAGAATGAGGCCAATTTTATTGAAGAGCTTACGCAAACACGACAGCGACAGCAACGAGAACGGCTAATAAGCAATAGGTTTAATGAGCAAAACAATTCTGCACATGCATCCCACTTCTTGGTATGTATCTTTGCCTTCACTGCACGACAACGAAGTAAATCTTCGTAACGACACATTTTATGACGGACATAAACGCAAGGAGACGATTTTTGTTCTAGTTTTCCGAATTTGGATACAATCCTTTTAGAACTCGAGTCCAGAAAAGTTCGCGTAGAGAAAAATTCGGGAGGCGAGTTAGAGTAATCGCAAGGACGTTTGAAACACAGGAGTCCTGTTTTTTTGTTCTGTTACCGTCGTGGTTGTTTAAGGAGCTGTACATTACGTCTTCTTGAGCAAGAAGTCACCCGAACGCTTCTGTTCTACTCGCTCATTTTTGTACAGTTAATCTGTTATCATTCGCCTGAAACATTTCCTGTCTTTCTCCTTTCTATTTATTTGACCACTTTCTTTGCCAGACTTTCTCGATTCTAGAGTTACAACATGTCCTTTCGCTCAATGTCAAAGGGAGAGAAGAGCTTTCTTCTTCCGTTTCCATCGCTCGCTTATTGTATTAATCATCTTATCACTTCGTCCTTTTTCAAGTTTATACGGCTTGTACATAAAATGTATTCACAAACATTTATTTTGAGATCATAAGCCCTGGGTTTAGCTTTTGTATACACAAGACACTTTGCCTAAAGACTGTTTTTATGGTTTTTATTTGAAACAGCCGGGTAGTTAAATGAAATGCGTACATGTAGCCATTCGTCACTTTAGAAACCAGAAAGAAACTGGACCGAGTTGACGTTCGCAAAGACTTCTGGGATGGTTACTAGGGAAAGGGAAAAAATGACCAATAGCTGACCGACGCGTCCCCAGTAGCTATCCCAGAAACAGTTGCGGGGCGCATTTCGGCGCCAGTTGCCTTCTCGTTTCTATAAGTGGCGAATTGAAACCAAGGTCACTGAGCAGTAGCAGTGTCTCTGTGTGTCGCTGCTTATTGTGCTTTTCACTCGGGGTAAAAAAAATCCAAACGTTTGACGGTCCAATAAAACTGATTTAAGTACTCTCCTTGAGATTTCCATGATGTCTATTTGTGTGTGTGTCTCTGGGCCGAGTTGTTCAAAGCTGGGTTAAGATAACCCAAGGTTAGTGCGAGATTTCAATTAAGATTTGAAAGCTTAAAAAGCGTTTCAGTTTTAATTCTTTTTGTCCACAAGTTGATGGATGGAAGCTCTAAAAATAAGAGAGAAAATGCTTTTAAACAGAAGAAAAGAAACCAGAGTTAAATTTAACCACGGGTTAAGCGCTAACCGGCCTTCGAACAGCTGGGCCCTGTAGGATAACCTGTGTGGCTGTAGCCATGTACGAAGTCCTGTTTAGGGAAAACGTAGACCGACGTGGCAAGCGTACTTGCCAGGTTTTTCCTTTTCAGGCTATCTGTCAGGGTTATTGCCCGATGCTTTGTCTCCGGTCAGATCCATATATGCGGTCGTCGGGTCGTCCGAGAAAACCATAAATAACATCGTTCAGAAGAGTATAATAATATAACACAAAAACTCGTTCAACGGACGACTAAGTTTTGAGGTTTTTTATTTACATTTGACATCCAAGGCCTTACCCGCGGTCTAGCTTTCCGCCAACCACCAAAGCCGCTAAAGCAACTGGCGTCATGCTCTGCAAAATTTATCCAGAAGCTTCCAAACTCGACCGAAGTGTTCTCGTGAAAAAATGTTTTTACCTAGTATTGCCCTTCAAGTTTATCAAGATTCATGAACAGTACTCAAATACCCTGAAAGCAAGTGCTCACTGCCAAGTTTTGATCGGAAGTTGTGCCTTATAGGTAGCTCAACTTTCACGTTTACTCGTTTGCGCGCGTACAATTTATGTGCGCATGCACTTAAAAAATGATTACGCTAAAGTGGAACTTTAGAGATAATGCACTTCATTCCATCCCACGGATACGCCCTCGCGCCATTGGAGCAACTGAGAGCAGCGGCGCTTCTTGGGAAGGGACAAAACCTCCAGGTTTCAAAGAGCAGTGCTTGCTAAAGGAGAATTTATTTTCGGGGCCGTAACATGTTTTACTGATAACAAATGACAAGTGCAATATTAGGCAGATCATATTAGGAAAATTGAATAGAAAGGAATATTTGTATTTGCCTTGACGTTTGGTCTGGAATAAGGTACAGTTTTCAAGGGGGCTAAGGGAGTGTATGAACGTAGATATCAGGGGCACCCAACGAGAATATAGTTCAAAACTACTTAAACATAGAATTGTTTAACGTATTTTAGTATTTAAACGGTAGATATAGGCATATTTTTATCCCCTAAAAATTTTTCATCTGTTCGGATTTCCTAGCTAAAAGTCAAGTGATCCGAAAATTATAGGGATCAAAACTTACCTTTTCGAAAATTTTAGCCAGAAAAAAGGCTCCCGAAAATTCTAGGTGACCTTTTTAGGGTAAAAATCCGTTAAAAATAGGCAATTATACCATTTTTTAGATGTCCGAAAATCCTAGGAGATGCAGGCAAGCAAGAAATTTTACAACAAATGTTCCGAAAATTCTAGATCTCAAATCGTCTTCCGAACAGATATTTTTCCGAAAATTGTCGTTGGGTGCCCCTGAGATATACTGGCCTAAAGAAAAGGTATTTGCGACCGAGAAATAACATAACAAACCCGCAATTCTTTACGATAACTGCAAAATAACTTTCAACCGTGTGGAGGCTGTTTCGGATTTATAAGAACAGGTTGCCCCATTTAAGAGAATCTGGAATCCGGGAAACGTTTGCTTGTGAGAAGTGGAATCCGGAAAAATTCTGTTCATAGGATCCAAAAACTTAGCTTGTATTCGGAATATAGCTAGAGGAATCTGGAATCCCACTAACGATTGGAATCCAGAATCCAAGTTGCACTGACAACGACTAGAATCCAATAACTTACATCCAGAATCCATGGCGTGGATTCCAGAATCCAATGTTTTGGATTCGCTTAAATGAGGCAAGACAGGGCATATTTGGATAGATAAATAGAACATTTCGGTGTTGCCTCAATCCTCTGTTTCAAAGCGAGGCTAAGTGCGAAGCCACTAAAATGGAAATGAATTTCTTTTTTTGTTGTTATGTCCCCAATTAGTTGTGAAAACTAAATACACTGACACATTAATAAAGCTGTTACTAAAAGCTGTTACTATTCTCAAGCAAATAAAACTCATTGCACTTAGCATCGTTTTGAAAGGAGAGTTTTGAACTCGGAAATAGCCTATTGACATACCTACTTCAACGTGCATAAGTGTGTCGTTATGGTTATCTACACATTGCAAGCAATCATTGTCATCTTTGGAAAGGCGTTCACTAAAAAGCTTTATGGCATACCGTATAAGAGGAAACACGTTGTATACTCAATATACTGAATATTACCTCGACACAACACCACCAATTGACTGAGCTTATCTCAGGTACACCCAACGACGATTTCCTCCTAAATACGTCGAAAACACTTTTTAGATTACACAGAGTACTTTTAGATTTCTAGAAATACATCCAAAGCTGCGCTATAAAATTTGTCACCTATCTGTTCGGTCATCCTAGGGGAACTTGTGTCTTTTCGAAATTACTAGGGCTGCAGAATTATTTTCCCAAAAAGTTTAGATGCAATTTATCGTTTTACGAATGTAAGAATTTTTCTGATTCCTACCTTAATCACATTTTTGAATCCGAAGATTTTAGGTCTCCCATAAACATTATTTGGGGAGTGAAATGTGGAAAATTAAGCTTCAGAAAATGGAACATTCATGTCATCTAGAAATTTGAAGCCATCCTCAAGCAATAGAAATTTCTAGGCAACATTTGCTTCTCTGAACAAATATTTTACAGAAAACAGTCGTTGGCCTTTGGCCATGGGTGCCCCTGTTAGCTGGCCTTAATTTCTAAAAATCAACGGAAATTTCACTTCCATATAGCAATATCTCTCTTTGGTCTAAACAAAAGGTCAAAAAGCAGTTTGACGGAGAAACAATACAAGAAGGCCATTTTATGCTAAGTGCATCATATTCTCAACTGTGCGATAGCTGATTCCTTTTTTTTTTAGGACATGACATATTTGAATAAAAAACAGAAAAAGCAAATTAAAGATATGCCTACTTCGACGTACATTACCCTGGTAATAATCTACACTCTGGAAGCAGTCCTTATCGTCTTCGGAAAAGCATTCTTGATCTTTGTTTTCTAATTCCTATCTCAATCACATTTTTGAATCCGAAGATTTTAGGTCTCCTTTTTTTTTATGAAAAATAGCATTATTTGGGGAGTGAAATGTGGAAAACTAAGCTTCAGAAAATCGTAGGTAATTTACCAGATAAGTTTCGAAAATTGTACATAAATGGAACAGTTTTCTAGAAATTTGTAGCCGTCCTGAGACGTCGTGAAGCAATAGAAACTTCTAGCCAATATTTGCTTCTCCGAACAGATATTTTACAGAAAACAGTCGTTGGCCATGTGGGTGCCCCCGTTATCTGGCCTTAATTTCTAAAGATCAACGGTAATTCTACTTCCATATCGCAATATCTCTGTTTGGTCTAAACAACAGGTCAAAAGGATTTTTGAAGGAATACAAGAAGGCCATTTTATGCTAAGTGCATCATATCTTCTCAACTGTACGAGAGCTGATTCCTTTTTATTTAGGCAGGGACACAGGGGCGGATCCAGGATTTTTTTAGGAGGGGGTGCACTCGTCTCTTGCTCTACTTCAACACCAATAAACCACATAGTTTTTTTTTTTTGCAAAATACCAGTTATATTAGAAAACCGCAGGTCATCTCAGGGGGGGCGTGCGCACCCCCTGCACCCTCCCCCTAGATCCGCCCTTGGGACATATTTGAATATAAAAAATTGGCAACAGAAAAAGGAAACGCCTACTAGGATATGCCTACTTCGACGTACATTACCCTGGTAATAATCTACACTTTGGAAGCAGTCCTTATCGTCTTCGGAAACGCATTCACGATCTTTGTTTTCTGCACCGAGAGATCCCGCCTAAAACGAACTTATTTTCTTTTGATTAACCTCGCAGTCGCTGATAGATGCTGATTTACTCGTGAGGATTACGGAACTTATAATCACTGGAACTGTTAAATCTCATAATGTAGGAGAGGGTTACGGTTTTTTGATGCGGAGCCGAGCAAACCCGATAGCGGCTTTTATACTTTTCTTTTCGGGTACGTCTGTTTATTTTCTTGCGCTTATCTCCATGGAACGTGCTTTCGCACGGCTAATCCGTCATCGCATCACAAACAGTCGAGTTTATAACTGTAGCATCGTTATCGTCTGGGCCGTCAGCCTTGTTGTTTTTGGTTTAACAGTTTTATCTTTCCATTATTCAGATTTTATGGAGGAATATGTTTTCCTCCCTTTTAGGACATGCCTTCTTATTTCCTTTTTGATAATCTGTGTAAGTTACCTAAGCATACGCCAGGGGCACCCAACGAGGATATAGTTCAAAACCACTTAACATAGCATTGTTCAACGTATTTTAGTATTTAAAGGGTAGATATAGGCATATTTTTATCCCCTAAGAACTTTTCATCTGTTCGGATTTCCTAGCTGAAAGTCTAGTGATCCGAAAATTATAGGGATCAAAACTTACCTTTTCGAAAATTTCAGCCGGGAAAAGGCTCCCGAAAATTCTAGGTGGCCTTTTTTAGGGTAAATATCCGTTTAAACTGGGTAATTATACTATTTTGTAGATGTTCGAAAATCCTAGGAGAGGCAGACAAGCAAGAAATTTTACAACAAATGTTCCGAAAATTCTAGATCTCAAATCGTCCTCCGAACAGATATTTTCCCGAAAATTGCCGTTGGGTGCCCCTGATACGCACTCGATTGCGAGCACCACCACCCGCGGAGTTAGACAATCATATATCGATCAAGGGAGCACAATTTACGATTTTCAAAAACAGTTTTTATAG